AACCTACCATCGATGTAAAAAACATCGAATATCGATGTTCATCCCTGTGATGGATGATCTTGTTTGTACTTTATTTTGTTTGACTCGACGTTCTGTACCCACGAGCACCTCAGCTTCCACTTGCACAGAAGGCCTTGGAACAGTTCCTAGCATAACAGCTATTTGTGTAATAGCTTCACTGTATATCTTTATTGGACCTGGTTAGATAGTTGTTTCTTTCAACAGTTGCAGTTGCGGTTGCGAACTGAACGGTGCATTATTATTGTGATGTTGTAAAGGTGTTTGTTTACTTATGGATTTATTGGTTTTGACTTGAGCTGCCTTAAAGGTGTTTTATGATTATGAAAATTTGAGTGTGCTGAAGCTTATTTGTTATTAAGTATTGACAATTAAATGTTTTGCGTGCATGAACCATTTATGAAGTTTTAAATGTTCACTTAACCTATATTTTCGGATTCCTCAAAAAAGAGGATTTGGAGTTGGCGAAAATGGCGTCGAAAACCACGAAAACGGTCAAATAATAATACACATTCGAGATTTTTTCTTACCATGACCTTGATTGATTGCACCAAATTTTATTACTGATTATACTAGTATAGATGATTGTTTTTAATTTAAAAAATATAAATATATGCTGCGGGGTGGGGATCGCGTCATGTTGCATTATTTTTTTAATGCAACAGAACCCTGCATTACAGCCCAAAAGCATTTTTCAAATTACACATTTATCAATTCAGTTTCTTTAAACAAAATTATAGAGATTGGTTGAAATGCAAATAATTTAATTTAATAGATTGTACTTTTATCACAGGTTAAAATAGCCTATTGCATTTTTTAATTTTATCTTTGTATGGATTTCAAGCTTTTTACTTACAACAAATGTCTTGAGTATTGGTTAATTTTGAGGTAAAATAAGATATGGGCTAACAAAAAATGTAAAATAATACAATATTAAAAGCCCCAGCCAACGTTCATGACTCCAGGCTCCAAAGTAACTTCTTAATGTTTCAAAATGTTTGCAGACGACTAAGCTGTGCACGAAATCACCGAGAAGTAAAATATTTCTCGGTGACGAATGTAAGATTGCATAATAATCAAAGACCCTCGTTATAACACGATAAATTTGTTACCCTAGTTCGTTATCATTGAAGAGGCGTCTAACGAAATTAAATGATAACAGATAACAACATATTATTAATGACATTAATGTTATTACTTGTTCAATACAATTATTGAATGATCGATAATACATTTAAATAGGAATGAGCCCCAATTTTCGGCCCCACTTGTCCCACGAGCCTCTCTGCTCACCGTTTCCCTCTCATAGGTTCGCGGGCCCTGCTGTTACGCCACTGGGGCCTGGGGCCAGATGTTTTTGGAAATGAGCAATAAAGACTCCCTTCTACACCCTCCGCCCTAGCGCGGCCGCGCGCCCAGACTAGCTGCGACTACTGTAAGCTGGCGTGATTCGATTTTGTTTTAACAGAACCTAAGCACAGAAAACATACTACTATAACCCAGATTGCCAACGGCATGGTTTAAAGTTTAAACCATTACGTGTTTTGAGAGAGCTTTGCCTGCCATTCCGTAGGCAGCGCCACCAGCGTTGCCATGCAATCCAGCTCCAGCATAGCAACGCTGGTTGCGTTGCCTACGGATTGACAGGCAAAGCTCGCTCAAAACACTTAATGGTTTATACCATGCGGTTGGCATTATGGGTTTATTGTAGTATGTTTTCTGTGACCTAAGGGAAGACTATGTTTTATCTATGAGTTAAAAGAAAATAGTGAGTTGTGGGTTAGGGATGAACATCGATCGATAGGTCAACCATCGATGTTTACCGTCGATGAACCGATAACATCGTTGCGAAAACATTGATTTTTTCAGTTTTTCGTCTTTTTTGTAATCTAATTGTAATCAATGGAAAACATCAATACCTTAATAAGTGGCCAAAACCACCCATGTTTGACGAAAACATCGATGTAACAAAAACAAAGGTAACCTACCATCGATGTAAAAAACATCGAATATCGATGTTCATCCCTGTGATGGATGATCTTGTTTGTACTTTATTTTGTTTGACTCGACGTTCTGTACCCACGAGCACCTCAGCTTCCACTTGCACAGAAGGCCTTGGAACAGTTCCTAGCATAACAGCTATTTGTGTAATAGCTTCACTGTATATCTTTATTGGACCTGGTTAGATAGTTGTTTCTTTCAACAGTTGCAGTTGCGGTTGCGAACTGAACGGTGCATTATTATTGTGATGTTGTAAAGGTGTTTGTTTACTTATGGATTTATTGGTTTTGACTTGAGCTGCCTTAAAGGTGTTTTATGATTATGAAAATTTGAGTGTGCTGAAGCTTATTTGTTATTAAGTATTGACAATTAAATGTTTTGCGTGCATGAACCATTTATGAAGTTTTAAATGTTCACTTAACCTATATTTTCGGATTCCTCAAAAAAGAGGATTTGGAGTTGGCGAAAATGGCGTCGAAAACCACGAAAACGGTCAAATAATAATACACATTCGAGATTTTTTCTTACCATGACCTTGATTGATTGCACCAAATTTTATTACTGATTATACTAGTATAGATGATTGTTTTTAATTTAAAAAATATAAATATATGCTGCGGGGTGGGGATCGCGTCATGTTGCATTATTTTTTTAATGCAACAGAACCCTGCATTACAGCCCAAAAGCATTTTTCAAATTACACATTTATCAATTCAGTTTCTTTAAACAAAATTATAGAGATTGGTTGAAATGCAAATAATTTAATTTTTGAGATTGTAATTTTGTTTAATGTTTTTGAGCTGCCCTCTCCATTATGTGCTTCAGCGGGATATATAGACTACCAATATTAATATTTTCTTTGCTCTTATTTCATTATTGCATCATCCAGTGGTGATATTGCAGCATCTGAAACATAACTAAAGTATCTTTGATTATAATATACTATTTGTAAAAATCAAATTAAATAAGGTTTTTATAAGTATTTAAAGTTAAATTATTGTTTTCTTAAGTCAGTGTGTCAGAATGATTTATTGTAGTCCGTGATCCTTTGGAACATGAACAGCAGGCGGCTGGTAGCCCTGCTGAACACAGGGCCGTCGATGCTCTGTCGCTGCATGGTGATATATTATCATATTTTTTTATTAAAATCAATCATCTATTCTAGTATAATCAGTAATAAAATTTGGTGCAATCATTCGGGGTCATGGTAAGAAAAAATCTTAAATGTATAATATTATTTAACCATTTTCGTGAATTTGGTGACATTTTATGCCAACATCCTACACTTTTATTTCAATTATCATATTTTTTTATTAAAATCAATTATCCACTAGTACAATCAGTAATAAAATTTGGTGCAATCATTTGGGGTCATGGTAAGAAAAAATCTTAAATGTATAATATTATTTAACCATTTTCGTGGCTTTGGTGCCATTTTACGCCAACATCCTGCACTTTTATTTACAATTAGTAATACAATTTGGTGCAATGAATCGGGGTCATGGGAAGAAAAATAGTAATTGTGTCATATTATTTTACCATTTTTCTGGTTTTAGCGCCCTTTTCGCTAAGATCCTGTACTCTTTTTTCAATTTTCATACCTTATTAAGAGCAATCATGTTTCCTTATATTATCAATAATAAAATTTGGTCCAGTTTAAATAGGGTCAAGGTAAAAACACATTTCTTATTGATCACATTATTTGGCATTTGCGTAGTTTTTACCACCAGTCAAGATTACTTATATTTATGTTTTTATATTATTTTATTAATGCATTTTAATAATTACAAAGTAATTCTTATAATTAAATAGGTTATAACCTTTTTTTAAAGCTTAGAGTTTTAGAAAATATAAAGTACGGGATTTGGAGGTCTACTTGTGCAAAGCACTGACTACTTCGTAGGGGTAAACTCAAATGTCTGGTGGAGGGGGAAACTTTGGAGGGATGACAGTTGGTGATAGCTATCTTCACGGCCGTTACGGGATTACCATACGAGTCCGGTACACACTTTTTGGACGAGCTACGTACGATAGTTTACGCCATACTACTAATCTGTACAAATCCTTATATATTTCCTCCAACTAAAGGACCAAAAATCACTAGTCATAACCTCAAAGAAAGGTTATGTTAACCACTCATAGCCAACTAAATACAGTTTCAGTATAATCAGCTGATTGGTGTCCGGTAAAACTCATTGCAGTACAGTAGTACGCAATGAAACCCCATTTGAATAAGCTGGCGGCAAATAGCTGTTTTCTGGACTAATTCCTTGCGTGGGAAGTTCATCAAAATAATGTAGTGTGGCGTAAAACCTTTTACGCCACACTACATTATTTTGACGAACTTCCGACGCAAGGATTTAGTCCAGAAAACAGCTGTTTGCCGCCAGCTTATTCAAATGGGGTTTCATTGCGTACTACTGTGCTGCAATGAGTTTTGCCGGACACCAATCAGCTGATTATACTGTATTTAGGTGGCAGTGATTGGTTATAAACAAAAACATTTTGACTAGTGATTTATAGTCCTTTAGTTGGTGGAAATATATAAGGATTTGTACGGATTTAGTAGTATGGCGTAAACTATCGTACGTTACTCGTCCAAAATGTGTGTACCGGACTCGTATGGTAATCCCGTACTCGACTTCGTCTCGCACGGGAACGACCACACTCGTCCGGTAAACACTTATTTTCAGGACTAGTAACGTAATATACTATTACATATTCATAAATCTATCTGTTATTTTCATTTCCCCTTTTCTTAGGTTACAATGTCCAAGTTGAATTTATTATTTAAACCAATCACGTACTTCAAATAGGTACAGCTGACAACTGTAACAAACCACAACTTAGTTTAAGGAATGAATAACAGCTACAGCGAATAGCTGGGAGAAGCTAATACACATAGGAAGTAACAGTTACCTCGGACTGGAAAGTGCTCCAAGAGCTTTGCGCAAGCTGAGGTGCTCGCGGGTACATAACCAGAACGTCGAGTTTTTGTTTGTGACACGATTACTAGAAAAATACTTGTGACTTGTAAAATCGTAATTATTTATTGTGTGTTTAAACTTAAAGTCTCAATTTGTCTAGAGTGATTTGTCACTAATAATTATTTCATTAATTGTCATTGTCAAACTTTGGTGGCTCGACGAGTTAGCGTTTGTGTGCAGTGTTTTATCGTAATATTTAATTGTGTAAACATGTTGTGATGTTTATTAGAAGTGAAGGAGGTTAGTTATTGAATGAGGGAATAAAAGGGATAGAATATGCATCCATGTTCAAGATGTATAATCTTTAGTCAATGGTATTTAATGTTGGTGTAATCAATAATAGGTTAGGATACGTGAATTAAGTAAATGTTTTGTGTTTTACGTTAATAAGCTACCTAGCCTAGGCTAAGTTAGTTGAACTTCGGAGAACGACCTGAACGACGAGTCAATTCTTGGAAATCGAGCAGTCATTCACTTTCATAAGCCTTTGTGTCGGGTAGATTTTACACTGAAGTCATTCAAGCTATCCGGCTTTCATCAAAGCAATGGTCATAAGGTAAATATTTTCTTACAGTTTGACCATTGACTATGGGATACAGAAGTTGTTTTAAGTTATTAATAGTCAAAGGTTTGACTTAAGAATAACACATTGTCAACAATCATATTTAAGTTAGGCCCTAAGCTTAAGTTAATTTATAGGCCTAGCCTATAATGGTAATTATAATATTAAAATGTGAAAGTTTGTGCGTTTGCTTGGGGCTCAGTAGTAGAATAAGTAACAATGCCTAGCCTAGGCCTAAACTTACTGATCAGATTGGGCTGAAATTTGGTATGATGATAGTTCATAATTACCGATTAACATTTAAGTTAGGGTAGGCTTGGCCTATTCTTATCTCAAAAATCCTTTTAGGCTCCGCCCCAGTGGCTCAGGAGTTTCCCATGGTTAAGTTAGGTACCTTATGAATACCTAAGTTACCGGTAGGCCTAATCATAATATTTAGAAAGAATCAAAGAATCTTGACAGCTGATTAAGTAAAGTAGGCCTAACTTAATTAAAATAGGCCTAAGTTGTATTCCTATGTACGGTAAGTTATGTATGGGTTTCAAAAGCGCTCATTACTTAAAATATGGTAAACTGCCCAAATATCAAGACCTTAACGCTCCGAGTGTCCCTTGTTTTGGCCTTAATGTCTGCCTATTTTTTGCTCATTTGCAAGGTTTTATTAAAACGGATCTGAGAAGCTTGAAAACAATGTTAATTATACTGTTCTATATACCATTTTGTTTGGAAAATCATGGGCTTCAATATTATACATAGAACATAGCCTAAGGAACATTTGTTTAAAAAAAAATTTTTAGGTAAAAAAAATACTTAGGCTATTTTGGAAAATTTTCAAAAAAAATAAGTTTGCGCTCAATGAAATTGTATAAATTATAGGCCTATAAATATTTGAAAATAGCCACTTTGTTCTAAATTTTATGAGGATTACAAATAGGCCTATAGGCTATAATAATATAAGGAAGTAGATTTGCAAATAAATAAGTTATGGGCAAAAAACAGATTTCAGTACATAGCGTTTAGCTAAGAATGCATAGCCTAACCATAGCTAGGAATCTGGCTGATAATTTACATCAATATCACTAGGCCTACCTACTTCTTCAGGATCATCAACCAGCCCTTCAAAATCACTTAAATCTTCTTATAATGCACCACGTATATCACTACTTTTGATTTTTACCACTAAAACAATGATAAACGTAATAAAACACATTAGTCATTGGTCCGAGGTTAACCAAGCTGTTTACAAATACGCACGTCAGCTGTCTGCTACAATATTTTCGGAACTAAATTGAATAGCGCTTAGAGACAGACCTCCGGAGAAAGCTCTGAATCTGTCAAATGAAACGATACCTAACTCGATCCAGTTCAATCCGATTTTGTCAGTCATAGAGCCTTCGGCGTAAACAGTGTTTGTGAGTCGCTGCAGCGACACAAAACACTACACAAAGTGTGTTATGTGTCGCTGCAGCGACAAATAACACTCGGAGGGTTAAGAACGGTTCTCTTGAAAATGTCTTCTAGAGAACAAAAAAAATACGACTTCAGGAACTAATATTTCTTACCAATATAAGTAATTGTGTAGGCCTACAATTTTCTCAACAAAATAATGGTTTCAGGTTGTAGGCTATTATGACCAAAAAATGTATTTTCTACATCCTTTTTTTTATCCTTTTTTTATGAACACTCAATTTTCCTACTATATCCTAATTCCGTGATTCACGGAAAAATGTCCGTGATTTTTCAGTCAAAGTCCGTGATACAGCAATTTTGGGGCTAAAAGTTCCTAAAATGACCAGCAACTGTAATATTTAGGCCTAATATACATATAAATCTGAAAATATAACCTCAAACACTTTTAAATTGTACCAGCATATGACGATGACAGATGAAATTTAGGGATCGCCGGAAGACTGCCCCCCCGGACAACTACCCCCCCCAAGCAGGTTCCTACGTCATGTTGACGTCAGAGATCGAGGGGGCAGTTTTCCAGTCACGGACACTCAAGTTTCGTTGTAATACTGTTCTAAGCTAACCTAACCTAACCAACCAAACTTGCTATAAACGACACCCTCATACTTTTCAATGACAACGAGAGACAAATCAGCTTACTCCAGGCACACTTGAATAGATTCCACAAAAACCTACAGTTTGCCCTTGAAATTGAAAAAACTAAATCCATTAATTTCCTAGACGTCACCATTACCAGATACAACAGCCAATTGCAATTTAAAATCTACAGAAAACCAACCACCACAGATCAGACGATTCATTCATTACCTACCCACAAAAACAGCTGTATACAATAGTTTTGTCCACCGCTTACTCTCCATCCCAATGAGTACAACAGATTATAACGACGAAGTAAATACGTTAAAACATAGCAGTCGCCAATGGCTATAACAGTTTCCTGATCGACAAACTGATAAAAAAATGCAATAGAAATTATGATAAGCCACACGATAAGAGTAAAATATACGTAAGTGCGAACTACGGTGTCGTACTGAACCACACCTTGACTAAAGAATTGGCTAAGAATGATGTGGTCGTATCTTTCAAAACTAACAATAAACTGTCTACTATCGTCAAAGAACAACAACCGTCTAGAACTAATACAATGGACAAAACAGGAATTTACAAACTAAAATGTGACGATTGTCCCAATTTTTATGTAGGCCAAACATCAAGATCTTTTTCCACCAGATTTAAGGAACATATGCCAAAGAAAAATTCCAAATCAGCGTATGCAAACCACTTAATTTCGTCCAACCATAATTACACAAATATTGACAATAATTTATTAATTGTACAACTCTGCAATAAAGGACGATACATGGATACAGTTGAGGAGTTTGAAATCTACAAGGCGTCAAAAGAACAACCACAGAATATATTAAATGAACAATTATCATTTGAATCAAACATTATCTACAACACCGCTATTCATATACACAATAAACAGAAAACAAAGGAACGAGATAAGGATAACATTGGAGTAGGGGTAGGGGTCAACGCTGCCGGCACGTGACAGTTGCGACTCACCCTCAACCGGCGCCATATCACGAGTGTTGTTACCGTCGTCTGGTCGACCAATATTAAATGTTTCGTGTTTCCGTGTGTTATGTGTTTTGTTGTCTAGCCTATTTATTATTAAACTTTTGACGAACTCCACTGCGAGGAATATGAAGACTAGCCTACTTGACATTCTTCTGACCTGATGATGTGCTCCATTCGAAGCATGAAACAGCTGTAGTCTTACTAACTACAAAGGATCATTTTGACAAACCACTATATAGGCCCAGACTTGCTATAAAATTTCAAAATATTCCCCACATGACTTTTCTGCTATCAAACGGAACTAGGCTACTCGAATTAAAATTATAATTACATAGCATCACATTTTGCTGATGGGGGTAGTACTCCAGTCGCGGACACGGCTACCATATTGGTTAGTTGGCAGATTTGGTGACGTCACGTTTCACCTTTGGGGGGGGGGGGTGGTTTTCTGGGGGGTTGTATTCCGCATCCCCAAATTTAGATGTTTGTAAAGAGTAAGAAAGAGTAAAGATCATGCATCACGACCATAGAGGCTACACTCCAATAAACATATATTTTGTTGTTGCTTCAATTTTATTTAATAAATTACTTTTATCGAGATTAGAAAAGAAGGATTGTTGACTAAATAATATAACAAAACACAAGAAGCAAGTGTGAAACTAATTTATTGGGAAATCACCAATAACTTTGTCACCAAACGATAACTAAACAAATCACAGACAAGACCAAACTATATTGGATGAATAATTTTAAAATAGGTACCGGTAGCCCATTTAACAAGAAAATACATATGATACACTCCACTATAGAAAATACTATTTAAACATGAAATGCATAGCCACCAATGACTCATGTAGTAGGGAATTGGGGTGAGCTCTGGTATGTTGGGCGGAATTTTTTATTAGCCTACAACATCTTGAGTATTGGTTGGTATGCCACCAATGGTATGTGACTCATGTTGGGGGGAAATTGGGAACTTACTTTGTTTTTCTTTTGATGGCTCATCTACAGACCGAGACCTTTCTTTGGACACCTCTACCAAGTTTCTACGCCCAGGTGTTCTCTCAAATTAGTGGAGACAAAGTTTCCAATTAAATATTTAGATTCCCTTATGTTAATCTTATGGGAGAAAACCCAACTTTGATGGAAGATCCTGCCCAAACTAATAAAGATTTCAAAAAATTAAAAACTCTTTTTTGACACTTAAATAATCAAAATCGGTCTAAAAATGAGGGAGGAGTTTTTTTCACAAAAATCGGCTTAACGTATTATATATATATATATACTAGCTGTGTGCCAGTTCTACGCACGGGGATCTTATAGTAGTCAGTTGAAACCTTATTATATAAAGAACAGCAGTAGGTTTGCATATTTTCAGATGTACTCTGGCAAAACTATTATATATAAACCTAATATACATATAAAGAAAAAGCAAAACTTATACAGTAAGACATCAGTTAAATTGAATACTACTGTAATAAATAAGGTGCAACACTAACGATAACTAATTTGTTAATAGTTATGTGTTGGTACGTAAAAATTATTTTTGTTGATACTACCGGTTCTAAGGAAAAAACAGTACCAAAAGCCATCGTTTACAGTTAAGAACTATAGTATATCCGACCAATTAAATGTGTTAATCCAGTTCCGAGGCTATTGATCTCTCTTGGTTTTGGATTTTCTGACAACAAGTTGTCGAAAATCGAAGTTATTTCCCATTAATTGCATTATTTGTAAACAACTTTTAATGTAAACATTTTGGTGACAGTTTGAACAAAACAACCTCGTCCAAACAGCTTTTTGTTATTTAAAAGATTGCGTATTCTATAAACTATGTTTCGTATGTAAGTTAACATGAGAAGGAAATGTGAAAAAATCACACAATGTTGTGTTTTTCAACGTTTTTAATTTGATTTCCTAAGTAGGTAGGCCATGTATTG